AATAGAATTTAATATTATTTATTATTATTATGTATATCATCAGTAATACTAATTAAAGACAAGAATACTATTATGATAAAATAGCTGTACATATGTGGTTAAGTTAAGTTACTAATTAGGTAGTGACATATATATATATATATATATATATATATAATTATAATTATTGATCCTGGTATTCATTTTTTTCATATTTGTTGGACTATTTTATGTTTCACACTATATGTTGCTGTAATGTGTTCTATTGTTGGGCAGGCCCTTTTGGACCACTTACTAAAGCCTGTACGCATAAAGAATTGATTAATTTCTTTAATAACAGCTGTTACAATAACTTTCACCCATAGGCCTACCTTTAAATATGACATATCAACAGAAATTCCAAGACTAATGGGATGCCTAACTTCTAAATTTAAACTTACCTGCAAACAAATAGATGCAATAACTTTCAGTGTCTCACTCACTAACTGACACTTAACTGAATGAATAGTTGATTGTTCAGGAACTTATGGTTAACAACTCGCTCGTATTCATATTGACCAATGTTTTTCTGTGTTTCACGAAGCTTCTTAATTCTTAATTTTTCATGGACTTTCTTGACCTCAATGTCATGCACTCTTTAGCAAAACATCTAAATCAAAATGTTGGAAATATAGCCTACAACAATATTATGTTAAGTTCTATTATGTTTTGTACTAATAATCAAGTATGAAATACCTATGGAAGTAATATGTGAAGAAATATGTAAATGTTGTACAAAAGATTTAAAAAATGTTCATAATTTTACAACCATGATATTTTCGAACAAGAAGGGGGCCTGTTATTGAGGCTGTCTCATTCAATAAACTAAACTTGAAAAAAAAAAAGAAAGAATAAAAACACTCGCAAATTGAAGTCGAAATAAAACCAGACGTTGCTTCTTTCAATGTGATTTTATATAGTGCATTGTGCTATATGGATTATTGTAATGATCTGGATGGAGAGGTATCTTCTTTTGGTTTGTAAACCAGCTGATAGCTCAGTTGGTCTCATAATATTAGGGTTAGTCAAAGGTCCTTAGCTCAAACATTGGAAATGGCAGATTGTTATAGAACTTTAATATTTTTGTATGGTATAAAGATGGTGTTTGCGATCCCATGTTGAGTCCTTCCTCATCATGGATCCGAAAAGATGATTGCAAGGTATTTATAAAAGCTAGATCAGACCATGTATGAAACCTTGCTATTTGTAATTTTAAAAAACCAATTAACTTTTGTTATTGAAAGACTAATAAAGCAAACAATAATGTGCATGAAAAAAAATAGTTTTGTTTTTAGTTGGTGACTAATATATGAAACCATAGAATTGATTTAATATTTTCATTCTCTCTTTAAGGTGACTTACTCAGTTACTGGATTCCTAGAAAAAAATAATGACTTGTTATACAGGGATCTTTCTCAAGCCATGTACAATTGTGAACACCCCTTATTGAAAACCCTTTTTCCTGAAGGTATGGTTGCTTCCTATTTATATATATACACATATATAGTGTATGTGAAATCTGTGTATATGAGCTACTGTTAACTTTTTTCATATAGCCTTATAGCTGTAAAACAATATCCTTTCCAGTTTTATTTATCAATTATATGATAAAACAAGATTAACAGTTATGTGTGTTTATCACTTTATTTGTATTGACCTAGAAAACTTTGTTGATGGTGCTATGTGGGCTTATACGATAATAAAACAGTTTTTACGCTATATTTTCTAATAGAAAATCATATAGAAATTCTATTGTAATAGGTGGGTTGGAGTCTAGAAGGTAAAAAAGGTTTTTGACAATTCAGTTAGTTGCAATGAAAATTTCTTTCCTTGGCACTGCTTGTCTTCAGATGTGCTTTTTACATTAGATTTACTAGAATTTTTGCAGTTATTGTTTTAACCTTTTGCTGCTAATGGTCATGTGGTCTTTCTTTCCTAATTTTCTTGATTATATGAAAGAACAACACTAAATGTTAAACTTGTGAGTTAAAACATTCAATCAAATTAATTTCAATTTGATTTTCTTTTAATTGTCTTTGTACTTTTGGGACACATGTCTCGTTATCTGTTCCCATTATTTAATCCATCATACAGGTTTGTCCACTACTCTTTAAGGTTGTTATTAGGCCTATGTACCATCACCATACTTGACTTATTTACTTTCTAACTAATAACAGTAAAATTAGTCTTTTATGTGTTTTACAAAAACTGACCACCACAACACCATTTTCATAGATTAACTGGATTATGTATTCATGTTTATACATTTCTGAAATCTCCTAAGGTTCTTAACACTCCTACACATGAGTCATCCACTACAGCTATGGCAACTGGAGACACTGAGGGTCAGTGATGTTACTGCCATTGTGCAGGATATGGTTAGCTCCATTCTGATCTCAGACCCAGGATTCCTGACTTCCTACTTCTGTTACTTCAGCTGAACCTGCCCCATCTTGTTTCACCACTGTTGTCTCCATGCTTGTTTTTGCTTCTCGCTCATTTTTTCCCAAAATGAATGATGTAGTCCTACTTTCAAACATACTGTTAGTGTGCTTTGTAGTCAGTATGATAAAAACCTACACACTGGATAGGTGAAGTGAAGAAAAAGTGTCATTGGCCATTATTCAGTTCTTCACATTATATAGCTGCACAATAGCAGATATAGTAAATAAACTTAGTTTTCCAAAAATTTGTTTAATCTAGAAGTCTAAGTTCAAGGGAGGTCCAGTTCAATCTACACTTTGATCAATGTGTGTTATTGGGTTATACTTGTTTCAGAGAATTCCACTCCTCATATGTTACTCTGAACACAAGTTAACCAAAAAGAGATAAGCTGGACCTATATCATAGTGAAAAGTATCAAACATACTGTTGGTGTGAATGTGCTTTGTAGTCACTATGAGAAAAACCTATGATGACTCACTCAGTATCACATGACCCTGAATGCCCCTCTTCCCTCCACCTTACCGAGACTGTTTGGAGCTCTTCAAGACTTAGCAAGTTCTCTGTAGGTTCCTTCCACTTACATGTCCGAGTTTCCATGTTCATGGTGAGCATAAAACAGGTAACACCTTTGTGTTGGTTTTGTGCTTGGCAACAACCAATTCTATGACCACATCTTTCCACTTCCTCTGTTCCAGTGGGGCACAGCTGTGGATGTTTGATCTATTTCCAGTATATGATCTCCAGAGAAGGGTTTTCTCTGCCTTTATGTCCTTGAGCTGGTGGCTACTCCATAGGCTTGCCATCATCTTTTGTCTCATTTGTTTGGTCTTTTTATCATGATCCATTCAGATACCTCCTTTGTTACTTCTTCCTTCCCCTTACAGGGAGGCACTTGCTCCCAGGTCTCTGTTTTCTTCAATGTGGGCTTTCTCTTTTGGGGCCATAATCACCACATTCAATTGTTGATCTATCATATCTTGATTACTCAGACCTTGATGGCAGATTGACTCTCACCTAAGCCTGGACTCTTCCCACTGAATGGTTTCTTTATCTTTTGGTGTTTTGATTGGATTTGCTCCCTCTATTGAAATCCTATCATCACTGTCTTCCCACTTTTCCAACACTCCTTGCTTCCACTCATTTGGTGTCCAGTTCCAGACTCTGCAGCTCTGGCTGAGTATGCTCTGTGTCTGGTGTAATTCAACCTCCTTTTATTTGCTTTGGACATATTTTACCCCATTCTTCCTTTGTGGGAACTATCACTCACTTTTGTCTTGGCTTTCTCCTGCACTATTTACTATAGAGACAGGTTCATCTTCTTCTCTGTCTGACCCCACCTTTGGGTGGCTTGAAAGGGTGTCTTGATGTTTTCTCTATTTATCCTCCTTTCCCTATACGGTCTTTCTGACCCAGCTCTTGTGTTTTGGGCTTTCCTTGGAATACAGGTTTGGGATGCAACTACTTGCACCTAATTTTTTGGTAAGTATCTCATGTAAGTATTTCTCCAATATAGAACATTCCAACTTACAATACTAGCCACACTACACACTCATGCCCAGCTGTCCATTTGTCAAGTAATGAACAGTTGAGCAATCTGCCATTCCATCCACCTTAGTGATATGTTAGCACTAAGCAAAAGATTCATATGACAATATCATTTGCTCTAGCACCTCTATTGAGCAAAGAGATGTTTGTTGCTCCACTAGAATACCCTTGCCTCATGGATATCACACTCCATAAGCCTTTCCTTTCTGACACCATTGTAATTTCTTTGTAATGACCCTTCCAACATCTTTGGTGTGGGATTCCTAACTCTTTGTGGTGCATAGAGATGAATCACATTGATGTAGCTAACATCTGCTTTACCTGAAAGTATATTTCAGATAGATACTTCTCTACACTACCTCCCACCCTTCTTCCCCACTTATGGTGCAGTTAGTTTGTTTAGTCAAGAATGAGTCTATGTTCACAAACTAGTGCTCATGGGGATTACTACACATGGATAATGTGTTACTCTCCTTCTCATGGAATACTATAGTTTTAATGATGATTGTATCATAGGCTGGTGCAATACACTTTGATACAAGTAGGGTTGTGAACTTTTTTCAAGGCTTGTAGTGTGTTCAGAAAATTACTTGACAGTGCACGTGAGGTGATAGCTTTTTGTGGTTTAGAAAGGTATGTATGTATCTATCTAAAATACATTTTCAGGTAAGGAAAATGTTAACTTTTTTAATTGTAAGTGATTATTGGTATTTTAGATTGAAATTTCATTTGTTGTGCGAAAACTAATTTTTAAGACCTTTCAATTGAGAAATTTGTTTTTTGCTGAAATATTTTTGGTGATCACAGTATTTCATAATTTTAGTCACTAGTCAATGGATTTGGACAGTATTTGAAAATAGTTTTTTATACATTTTTCTGTAATGTTTTCTGAAGGTTAAAAGCTGCTCAAGATAATTTTTTTACTCACAAAATGTAGAAAACCTTAGAAACAGGCAGATTTCCAGTTTTTTAAGATATACCATTTCAGTTTTTATAGATATGACTAAGGCATAAGTACACATTACTGGTCAGCTTCCCGGAAACATAAGATATATTTTCTTATTTGCTATTGCTATTTTGAGCATATACAATGTAGTCACCTGTCTCATGTAATCTTACAATGTTCAGCTATCTCCCAACTAAACATGAGTTATTTGGGCTAACGCATATAAGATGTGATGTTTTTAAGTCAGATGAATAACTTATAAGCTTTGTGAAGTATCAAATTATTAACCTCGGGTCTGGGAAGACATTTAAAAGTTGGGCCAAAGAGAGATAATAGACAGGTTTCACATATCATACCATACATTTTTTAGTTTTGGAGGCATGCCCTGACAATTTTTTTTCTATATATATATAAAATAAACCTTAGCATATGTACTTAACACTATCCCTTGTAATTTGACTGTTACTAATTTTATTCAATTTTATCTTATTTTTCAAACATTCATTATGATTATGGATGTAGTGCATTATAGATATATGTTTTAGTACCTTTTTACCTGTTTGCCAATGATTTTAACACATTGTTGTTGCTTAATGGCAAAATGATTAGTGATTCTAAATGTTTGTTGTAAAAGTAATAACAGTTACAAAAAGAAAAACTTTCTGAGGTATCAAAACAAATACATAATCTTGAACACAGTAAGTGTTGGAGATCTAATAGAATAAAAATTTGATCAAAGTACACAAAATGTAACTGCAAACTGTTACAAGTAAATAACAGGAAGAGGGATTCTTTTATTAATGGGACATGTATTTACATTTTCTTGTTCACTCTGTCTCTCTTTACTTCTGTTCTGATAGTATTTTTATGAAAACCAGTTTAGTGGTTCTACTTTTAAACTTATCATAGGACATAATAGTTTGAAGAAGGGAACCTTCAGTATTCTCCGTGAAGCAGGAAACTTGCAGAGCAGAAAGTTTAAAATAGTTTGAAATTTTAAAACTGATTTGCTAGTAATTTATAATGGGTTATACTATACCTTTAGCTCAGTGACGGGTCTAAGGTTCAAATTGAAGGTGAAGAAATATGCATAATATATATCTTAATAATGAATAACCACTATATGGAGTGTGAAAGCTGTGGTTATGAAGTAGAGGACTTTGATCCAAAAAACTTTTGCTATGAAATTAGGTATATTTCCTAGTATCACTAACACAGTAATAAAAAGAAGTTAATGAAAGCTCTGAAATTAGAAGTTCATACATTTCCAGTCACACCTCAAAATCAATGACTGAAGAAATGGTAGTCACAAGAATCCTAGTCTACCACACATATATGTTAAGTTCCCCAGTGCAGCTTCAGTGGACGTTTGTGCTGGTTTATGAACTGTACAAGAGGAGAGGGGAAAGCATTAATAAAACTGTTTAAGCAACTGATGTGGTTCTTTTCTGAAATGATGCATTTTATGTAGTGAATTTTCACATCTAGAGCTCAATGGAAAAGCTTATTAGTTTATTCATGAAGCTCTAACTGTTCATCTAGTTGGGCATAGCATCAGTGTGCAAGAAACCTTGTTTTCATCTTTAATTTTATAGATTTCTTGTTGTTGAGTACTAAAATTTGCACCTTTTTTCCCAGCATGGCAGTTTCATTACTGATGTCCAGTGTATCTACAACAATCTTAGAATCCTTGATGTTACCATTGTATTCTGATATTCCGTTGTTGCGATACTCAGAATCTGTTTTGACAATTTAGTGATGATGGCATATCCATCATAGCACTGTCCACAACAATAAAGTCATTCTGTAGTATGTCTTTGCATTAATGAGATAACTTGACTTTGTGTACATCAAATAAATCATCATGTAGATATTAATCATTGTACACACAATAAATGTAAGTGATAACCTGCTCACTATTGGATATATCCATTGTTCTCCTAGAAAACAATGTACACTGTATCAGAAAGGTTTTAACTATCAGACTTATTGCCTTAATATTGATTTGATGACATTTCAAGATACTTGCGTATTCCTTCTTGAGGCCAATTAGGTAGGTTGTGGGGAGCTTTGTAAAGCTCTAACATATTCCTGGATGAGGCCTCTTATGTGATCTATTTTCCTATTGGATAGGGATTCTGCTTTCAGATTGGTTCTTTTTTCAATCCATAAATTGTATATTTCTGCTCCTTCATCTCTGTTGATTGTTGGTTTCTAATATGTAGTGTCTTTTATTTCCCTTGTATTCCATTTCTTCTGTATGTCAACCAATCTTTAATTTTTCCAGTCTATGGTATGCCCCATTTCTGTTGTGTGTTCTGTAATGGTGGATGTGTTTGTTTCAACTGGTCTGATAGCAGTTTTAGTTTTGGTTTTCAAATGTTTTCCCAAATACTATCTGTCTCCCTTATGCTTGTTCACCACAGGTGCACACTATCTTAAGTTAATCCTTTATTTGTTAGTTTGTCTGTTGGTTGCTTGATGTTTGTTAGTATGCTGCAGATGATTCAGGTTGATTTGAAACATACTTGAATTTTGTTCTTGCAGATCTTCTGAATACTGAAGCTGATTTTTAGTATGAATGGGATAGTGATATTGAAGCATGGTTTTATTGGTGGTTTCTTGGTTTTTTCAGTACCTTATTGCTAACTGTCTCTGAAAAATGCATTTTGTATGTTGGCAGCTAAATCACAAACTTATTTTAATAATGTGGTATTCTCAGGTGTCAGTGGTTTATCTTAAGAGTGAATTGTTAGGTTCCACAGAAAAACAGGAGATTCAACAGAAAATGTATCATGGAGTTAGTCTGGATTCTCTAACCTTGACTGATTTTTGCAGCAAAGAAAGATACTGGATACTATGTAAAACAAATTGAAACAATCTTTACCCAATCCACAGACAATTAAAGTCAAGACAAGTGTTTTTATGGCATCTTTACTTGAAATAGCTCTCAGTAAACTAGAAATATATCTCTTAAGAATCTCCCAAGAATCAATTCATAATCTGTTCTCAACTGAGAAAACATAGCGTTCACTACATAAGAATTGGAACTTCACTACTTCCTTGACTGATGTTCTATGTTAAAATTAAGCTTCCCCCTGACCTGTTTGAGGATTTAACTGACACAGCCATCAGCACCAGAATGGACATTAAATTATTAACTCATGCAACTTGGACTGGGCAATGGCAAATGAGTCTCAAGGTACATACCTAGAAGTAGGAGAAGAGAAGAAAAGACAAGAAGATAAGTAAAAGGGAGAGAATGGATAAGAAATGTGTGTGGATAGTATCTTGGAACACCCATAGCCACAAAATGAGAACTACCATTGGAAAGCTGTTGGGTGAGAACAATGTTACGATGGTCCAAGAAACAAAGCTATGGGAGAAACCTTCATATGGCAAAGACAATAAAGTATTTTTTGAATCATTGGCAATAGAAGAAAATTCCAAAAGAGGACTTCTAATCTTTGTAGATCTTAATACTGAGTGCTGCCAAGTGCCTGTTCCTAGAAGCACTGTAAGAGCAGAGACTCTGGCAGTTTGCCTGAAGATCATTGCAGAAATTACATCCTGGGTAACTTGTATAATCTTTAAACTTGATTTCAAAACATCTAAATAATGATTCAGGGAGTTAAAAGAAAATGTTTAAGCAAATTTTATTTTTTTAACCAATATAATAGTTAGTTCTATTCAACTCTTTTGTTTTGTAGTCTGTCATTTCTTGTAGATAAAGTCTGAGACAATGTTGAATATACTTTCACGTGGAGCATTTTTATTTTCTGGTTTGGATACAATGTCTTGGGCTCTTCGATGAGTCTTTCTTCAGGTCTGAGGTAGGGATGGATTAGCATTAAATGATCAGCCCAGTCAATATCGCATGCTGCATACTGTCTGACCAATTAAAATTTAAAATCAATTTATAAGAATGCATCAACCCACCAGGCAATTGTCCTGTGTCCTGGTGGGCCCATCTGCTCCTGTCTGAGAGTTCTATTAGAAAGGGTTCTGAATCTTAGCAATAGTGTACTTCTGAGAAAACGAACAAAACAATTATGATTATTAATTGGTTATGAAGATGTCAGTTTAATTCTATTTTTTTCAAGTAAGTAAATGAATAGAAAACTGCAGCAATATGGCCCTGAGAGGGGGCATATTTAATAATCTTGAATCATGACTGGCCTTGGAGTGGCTGTTTAAACAAGTTTTTCTTCATACTTTAAAATATAGCTCAAATCAGAACTTAGTAGTATTGGATCTCCTCCTCAGGGCTGCACTGCTACAGATTTCTATACTCATCTACTAATCCTGAAAAATATAGAACTAAACCAAAATTCCCACAATCAATTAGGAGCCATCATTCTTTTGAACCATGTTACTGTTTTTATACAGAAATCTTTCTAATAGACCAATCTGATGAAAGACTCAATCAGAACCTCAGATGTTGTCTCAAAAGTAACCCATGGAAAATTATTCAACATATTCTGTGTTTTATCTAAAATCCAACTATGTTCAGTTTTCATTCTTTCAAAACCTGCAGTTACAGAAAGGTTGCTAAAATGTTTGATAAAAGTTTAGAAAAAATTACCTTTACATTCGAGATATATATAAAATAATTTTTTTTTATTTTAACCAACATTTTACCTATGAGGCTTCATCAGGGTTAATATAAACAGATGTTGCTAAAAATTGCACATTTTAAATCTGAAAGACTATTGGAATATATAAGAAATATTCTGTAGGGAACCCACGGAGGACAACTCTGAAACGCCCCACAACTACAGGAATACAGTTCAAGATCTCAATAGGAGCCTTGATGAAAAACTTGGAAGCTAAGCAACCCAACTATATTAGGTGTATTAAGGTCAGCCAAGCTTCTTAGTTATATAGATACTTGCATGGTTTCAGTTACAATTATGTACATAACATTTTGATAAGAAGTAAACATAAATAAATATAGTAAAATATAATATCAAATAACCTTAGATATAAACTATCTATAGTTTATGTTGTTATTTATAGTTGAATCTATGGTTTGCTAACTGAACAGCTATAAAATGAAGAATACTTTTTTTGGTCTTTGATAGTTTTCAGCATTTCCATCAGGTCATATATTTAACACTGCACTTCATTACTGAACAAGAAAAGTTTCCATAAAATACATAACTGGTAACTGCAACTCTAATTTTGTTGCAGATCGTATTATTTTATCATTTTGGACACTGCTTAATTATTGTTTGTTTTTGTTTCAGCCTAATGAACTAAAACAGCCCATGATATTTGAAATGGCACTAGTAAATCATCAAGTTCAATATTTAGGGTAAGTGTTTAATCTTTATAGAAACAAAGGAGGATAAGGAATTATATTCTTATCTATGCATGCTTACTATAACACAATCCACAGCAAGTTGCTTCTAGAAAACTTTAATCTTGGTAATTAGCATATGATCTTAAGAATAACCTAAGTTGTTGAGTGATCATTAAAATCCTTAGTAATTAATTAAGTCATTCGTGCTTCCTGTAGGTAAGGGATCATAATATATTTATAATCAAGACTATAAATACATTGTAAGTAATACATGAATATGGAGAAAAAGATGACACAAGTTATTTTATAATCTGTACAAAAGTTGTATGCAAATTGTATTACATGTTTTTATTTTTATATTAGCTTGTTAGAAAATGTCCGGGTCAAACGTGCGGGCTATGCCTTCCGCCAAGACTACAACATCTTCCTCCAGCGCTATAAGATGTGCTCATTGCAGACTTGGCCAAACTGGTCTGGCCTTCCCGTAGAGGGAATTACTCATCTTTTACGTGATCTTCCTATCCATCCATCAGAGTACACATTTGGCCGTACCAAAATCTTCATCAAAAACCCACGAGTGGTAAGTATACTTATTTGATTTGTCATACAATAGCTGATACGTATCTATTGCTAAGGGCTGTAAGCCAGGATAAGAACTGTAATAGCCAGAAAACTGTAAACAGTATTCATTGCCATAAGTAGCTATTGAACTATAAACAGTACAATAATTCTAATTAATAAAAAAACAACTATAAAGGCATCATGAATATCTGGGTAACAGTAAATCTTCATTAATAGCAAGAAAACTGTAAGAATCTGATTATGTTCACTTCAATTCTTTTTTTAACAAAATGTATAAAAATAAATTTGATAAACGTACATAAAAAAGTGTATTGAGTGTAGATGCAGTGAATATCATGGATGAATATTTACTTTCTTGAATTAATATGCAGAAATTGAAATGTATATATAGTGTAATCATATCACTAGTTAACTTACCTTTTAGCTGGATGTAAAGAAGCTTTCAATTTCCATATAGAATAACAGATTAATTACTTAAAGTTTCAAATTGGAAATTATTCTGATACCCTGTAGACATATGAGTGTAGAATGATCCTGTACAGTCTAGCCATTACACATTTAGAGTCCTGTGATGATTTTCTTTGTGTGCATTATAGTGGTTTTTGTTTAAATATTTTTCAACTCATGTTATTAGTATTAGAAATAATAACAGTAAATAATTTACACTTAATTTAAATATGTAGTCAGTTATTTAACTAACATTTCCACATTCCATTCATTATTTTTATTTTATATTAGTTTTCATTGCAATGTTATCTTACCAAGAATTTGTTCTTCCACAGTTGTTTGAGCTTGAAGAATTTCGGCGAGATCGTCTTAATGAGTTGGCAACATTGATACAGAAGACTTGGCGGGGTTGGGTTCAACAGCGGAAATACCTTAGGATGAAAAAATATCAGACTGTAATTGCTGCTAACTATCTCTGTGCTAAGGTAAGTTTTAACATGGAAAACTTTCAGTTGTTATGGTAAAACTTTACTTCATGAAAGGACCGAAATGTAGCGTCTAAGGATAATTTTCAGATAGCAATGTTTATACAGTAATGTAATACAGTTGAAAACACATCCCAACTGCTCAGATTTTTTTAAATATATCTAATACCTGACCTGTCATACCTTCTGCAGTATGATCTGAAACTTCGTGAAATCCTAATAATGATTCTTTAATATCGAGTTTAACCAGTTCAAATTTTTTATTCCTTTGAACGTGAACATATCTGAATACTACATTCATTTGACCTTTCTTTTTTTTTTTGGTTAAACTAGAGAATCATTTTCTGAGAAACTAGAACTGCATATTATATACAAAACATATAATACCCAATATTATTAACTATATAAACTACGTAATTGTACATAAGCTACATATATTAAATAATAATGTACTTATAATTATGTAATCAATATCTTTAAACAAATATATACTGATTCTTAATATTTCTGTGGGAATCCTTTAGATAGTGCAGGATTCTACCAAATATTATGTATAATCAATTTATCTCATCATTTATTGTAGAGATAAAATGTATGTGGCTCGCTTTGATCAGTGTGATATTAAGATTTAAGCACTTAAAAATATATTTCATTTTCAGATTTGATGCATAACTTTAAAGTTTCAAATGAAATGCATGTTCTTGATATACAGGCCCGTCACCAGCTTCATGTCAAGAGGGGAGTACTATCTCAAAATAGGAGTTGTGCCTGATTTAAAACAGAAAAATTATCAAAAGTTTAAGTTATAAAAAATTAACAAAATTGATGAAAAAAATATTTTTAGATTTTAAAGTTGCAAAGTGTTGAAAATTATATTTTGGTGGAGGGAGGCTCTTGATATGTTGTTCTAGGTTTTATTAAAATTTAGTAAATATTTTACTTTTAGGTTTTTTCACAAATTCTACGGACCTACTTGTTATGCGGCAAAATATATTGCAAAAAATGGTGTTGAATACAAATATTTTACCTAATGTAAATAAGAATGGTAAAGTTGTAGGTTAACTCTTTCTTGCCTCCTGTATGATATTATACCAGCCTTACACTCTTATATATAAGCACTCATAACTCATAAACATCACCAAACCTGAAACACATAAGTTTCAAATACAAAACATATAACATATTTTTTGGTCAACATATTATTTATAATGCAATAAAAACCACTATGCAATGGAAAAATTTACTTTTTACTATGCCGTTACCCAGCCACTGCTTAATGACTGCATTATAGTCACAGTTTAAATGCATGGCACATAGTAGGCTTAACTACTATTCTTAGGCCACTTTCAGTGAACTTGTTAAAAGGAAAGGTGTAATAAAACATTGTCTAAAGTATTAAAACTAATATAAATAAATAGCATTTTTCTCACTCTATTATATGCCAAAATGTTATTCATGAAATACTTATTGTAATCTATCTAGAATTTATTGAAAACATGTAGCAGAGACACCAATGTTACAATTATTGTTTTCGCCTAAGGATCAAATTAGAAAACTAGAAAAAAAAACTGTGTATGAAAAATTAATTTCAAGAACAGTAACTTCAGTAAAATAAACAAACATGCAAGGAAACATATAAAGTTAATTCCTTTTCATGCATTATAAACAATAGAATATGATTAGACAATCATAAACATTAATTTACTCTTCTCGAAGAAGCTTACATCAGAAAGGTTTTAGTCAGTCAATTGGTCAGTTACATGATAGGTATTTAGGTTAATATAACCAGGGGTGTTCAGGGACCTTTGATTTCTGTTTGCACTGCTCATGTTTTATAGATTATTGAAAAAAAACGGACTTTTGTTATTACTAAATAGATATATAAATGTTTGTTCTCATGAGAGTATGTGGGTGATGCTTGTGTGAAGCCACCTCAGTAAATCTGGGAAAGTCGTGGATGTTGTAGTGCTTGGTTTATTCTCTTCTCAATAAACCAAATGGCCCTATTGGACTTATGGTCCTTCAGGGAGGTGGGGATCTGTAAATCCCATGCCTGAGTTGGAATCAATTAATCCATTGCCCAACAATTAGTTGTGAAGAGGGTGGACATGAGTGTCCCAAGAAAACTCACTTTCACTGATCAGGCACCGAATATTCTACCTGACTAGTGCCTGAAATAACCTGGAATAGAAAAAATAAGGGTTAGTATACATACCTGAATAATTGGATAGTACAACCTATTATTAATGTAATATGGTCTTAGAAAGACATGAATCAAGAATTGAAAAGGCTTGTGTGTATTCGTTGTCAGGATTGTCATTGTTAAATCGAGTAATTCTCCGGAATGAGTTGAATGACTCACGTGGGAAGACACTGCATATCTCGTTGGTGTGGCCGTATCTGAAATGCATAGGTTCGAGGAAATTTCTTAATTGGTGAGTGAGTCTGGCTGACTCTTTCTGGGCTTCTACTGTAGGCTGGGTGGCTGTTGGTGTGTTTGTTTGGGTTTCTTTGCTTCTTTTAGACGTTTGTGTCTGTTGGTCCAATGTTGCCAGGTTTTCTGCAGATGTACCTGTGTCTTGAGTTTTGATCTGTTGTGTATGTTTGCTGATCTTGGGTTTTCTTGTTTGTTGTAGATCGAGGTTTGGGTGTTCTGGTCTTTACGTGCTTTAGTTTTTATGATAAATGTTTGCATTTGCTATTGTTCTGTTGGATGTTCTGCTGTCTTGGGGGTGCTGAGCCGGGCATTGGTAGGTGAACCTACTTGAATTGGTAACTGTTGTTCTTGGTTTCCAGTGAGGTTTTTTGGGTCTGAAAAGAAATAAGTAGGAATAACAGTCATTAGTTAAGATGTATTTTGCAGTTTTCTTGGATGTTGTAACAACTTTCATGTAGTGTGTTGGTTATTTGGTTTTCTTGGACATAATTCTGTTTGCAGTGTGGATTTTGGAATGGGTGTGTTTTTCTAAAGCTTGATGAATTTCTTGGGTAGTTATGGTTGAGTCCATGTTCATCACAAAAACTCTGTGTAGACTGCCATTGTGTTTGGGTGGTTAACAATGTACTGGTGGGTAGAAATTCCATGGATAGCAGATGTATCTGAGGTCTTCCAGAGTCTTAGGTTGTAAAAGGATCCCTCCTTTTCATAGTTTCATGGTAGATTCAGGCACTAGGTGGATCTTGGGTTTTTATCTGCAGACTAAGTAGGAATAACAGTCATTAGTTAAGATGTATTTTGCAGTTTTCTTGAATGTTGTAACAACTTTCATGTAGTGTGTTGGTTATTTGGTTTTCTTTGACATAATTCTGTTTGCAGTGTGGATTTTGGAATGGGTGTGTTTTTCTAAAGCTTGATGGATTTCTTGGGTAGTTATGGTTGAGTCCATGTTCATCACAAAAACTCTGTGTTGACTGCCATTGTGTTTGGGTGGTTGACAATGTACTGGTGGGTAGAAATTCCATGGATAGCAGATGTATCTGAGGTCTTCCAGAGTCTTAGGTTGTAAAAGGATTCCTCCTTTTCATAGTTTCATGGTAGATTCAGGCACTAGGTGGACCTTGGGTTTTATCTGCAGACTAAGTCTACAACCTGTGGTGGTGAATAATCACTTGGCAATCCATCGAGAATTACAGCCATAGTCATTTCTGATTATATCAAAAACCCTAAGAAAGGGGAGAGTGTTTAGCTTTGCTTTATCTTGGCAGTTCTTTAGGTTTGAATCTTTCAACATGAAATCAAGTAGAATTCGTAACCCAAAGGAAACCGGGGACTTGTGATATAAGATTTAATGGGAAGAGCTACTTGGAAAAAAAAGGGGGACCAGCAAGCAAAAATCCAAGAGTCGCAGACAGCCTGGTGATGCTTATAATCTTAATCTTGATGTTAATCTCAGCAAACCCATTGGGTAGGGATTTATAAATCTAATACTCCAAAATTTTGATATGGGAGGAAAATGGGAGTGTTCTGAGAAAAACCTACTTTCACTACATGGATGCCAAATAGTCTATCTGGGTAGTGTCTGAGATGTTAGACTAAAATAAAAATGAAAAAAAGTATATATGATTAACACGAGCTGTTAGAACTACACAAATTAAAAGGAGACAGGTGGGTTCGCCATGGTTTGGGAGTTGCTGCTAAGGATGGAAACTATAGTTTGGGTCTTGCGAGTAGACACTGTTAAATAGTACTTTTCTGCAAATTTCTGGATTGTATTTTTAATATGTGGTACTACGTTTAAATAATTGAGGTATTTATGCAGATTTTTAAATATAATATCGGACAGTTTGCACATGACCATATTGCCATATTCGAATAGAGATCTGATGAAACCTTTGTAAATGGTTATGATAGTGTTGGGTGTGCAGCCTTTTTGGTTTTGTTTCAACTTTATTTAATAGGCAAATAACCCTAGCTCAGCTGAAACTAAGTTGTGCAAAAAACATAATTCCAAGTTTTGGATTATATATATTACTTAGAAACTTTAAAGAACAAGAAATTAGTAAAACAATCCTTTCAACAATTGATTTTTAAAGTTATTGATACCTCAAAATTTATTTTAAAAATCTTACCAATTTAAACTCAGATAGAAAAGTGTGTATCTATTCGCTATATAAAACATGCTGAAATACAATGCTGTATTGCATTGTGATTTGATAGGAATAACATAATGTTGAGTCAGTGAAGATGAAAATTAGATCATACTTAATTCATTGCTGTCATCAATCAATAATTAAACATACAGCATTACCAATAGTGGTGTTGATTGATTATTTTGTTTGAATTCTTTTGCCCTGGCTATGATGTCATTCAAAAATTGTGTTGCATCCTCCATGACATACTTGAGTGAATTGTCTTCTGACTCACCTGCAAACTTCTTGCTTGCAAGATCTTTGTTTATGGTGATGCATGGTGTACCAATATTCAATATTATCTTGTGAACCACTACCACCACTGTGGTATTGCGAATGGCTAGCATTGTCAGTGCCGCTTCCTAAGTGGTACTAAAACACCATTTGAGAAACCCTGGAATGAACATTATATGCTATACTGTCTAGCTTTCGTAGTGCCCCCTGCAACCCTCCACCACACACACACACACCCATTGCAGTCTCTGCTGCATGGTAGTTATGCCACTTAGTCCAGTATAGAAGTTGTTTTTATAGGTAGTCTGATAAGATGGTGGTCTTAACTTCAGATGCAGAATTTTGTTAAATATAGTGCATCATATAAGTAATAAATGCCTGTTATTGAAGTTATAACGTAGAAAAAACTCACTGTTGTCTTCAAAACACAACCTTAAAGTCCAATTCACTTACCATTTGTTATTTCATGTATTTAACACATTACATTCTCATATATTCTGGTACATCTTTACTTTTATATTCACCCTGCCATTATTCATAGTACTATATTTAGCAAAATCACTTTTCTAGTCAAGTTTTATATAGTATTACAGATAACTTGCTTAGTTTACAAGTTACTTTTTTGGTTCTGATCTACAGAGTTAGCATCATTTTGATCAGAAATAAGCTATTGACAATTACTTTTATATACAATTTCTATAATTAATTTATAATATAAAATATTTTGTAATATTGGCACCTTTAGTCCAAAAGTTTATTTTAATATTTACACTATTTCCCCTCACTTCTTTTAGTTTTACATGCTCATATATCCTAACTAGCTTTATCATAAACTCATCATTGGATCAAATATACTCTGCATAGATCTTTATACCAGTTATATCTTCTCAACTCTCTAGCTTTTCCACATATTTTTATTTTAACAAGATGTTACTCTTGGAAAACAGAATCATGGCTATTCTTCCATTTATACATTTCACTCTTACTTTATCTCCTGCTGTTCACACAATGTTTTCTTCAAGCTGTTTTCATCCTTTAAGTGGCACACACATCATAAAATTACTGCATAAAATACCTTAACAGAAAATCATGTGACTAAAACAAGTATTTGTATCATATTAGCTATAAAAATGCATGAATGAAAATAATATTTTCTAAGTATTTTAATGTCTTATTTAAAATCTGTTTTATTGCTAATAAAGAAACTTAATTATTTGTTTTTCATATGGAATACTTTGAGTTAGATTTTCAGTTTTACTGCACAGATCAGTGGCACTTTTGTTGTTTAAATAAAGCATTAGTTGTGAGCTCATATCTTTTATTTAAGAATCAGGTTCTTGTGACTTTTATCTGCCATATACCTGGTCAAAGCTACATGTGACTTCAAATTCTGGATTAAAACCTATCATAACACTTGTCAAAAATTCTTCTATTAGATTGCCTGTTTTCAAGCTTTGATTTTACCCATTTTCTTTGAAGGCATAGATTTTTTTTATATTCCATTATGCACATTTTGATAATAGGTCTTGCTATTTATTTCCTGTTTTCTTTCACAAAACTCAACATATATCCAAATTTTTTCACATTTTGTTCTTATAGGTAAGATCTTATGTGTACAAGTATGGGCTACTATGATCTTCATGATGAAAGACAGTCTCTCTTCTATTGCTTATGAGCTCGTTCCTGTAGTCACCCTATAGCATTTTCTTTCCTATTAAGTCTAGGTGTATTTATTTTTGTCTTTTCTGAAATGTATGTATATGCACAGGTGGATCACATAACCGAGATGATATTCTCTTGCATTTGTTCTCTAAAGGTTTCTTATCTATTTTTTCTACAATAATACAAAAGGACATAATACAGAGGACATAGACCTTCAATCTTAAGGGATACCTGACTGACTTTATTAAGGATTTTCTTCTGCACATATTCTTGGATCATGACAGTTTACAGTGTGGTTGATGATGTAAAATGTACCAGATAATATACATGCTCTCTTACACTGATGAACCACCATCTGTAATTACAACTGATAGTATTTAGTTTTTGAGGGCTTGTTTTTGTAATACATTGTTTCTGAAAAGATAATTAAATTGTCATATAATCTAAGAAGGGTCTTTTTCTAGTCCATTAGTGAATATGATTTGGTGTTATTATCATATTTATTTATGACAGCTTTCTATATGTTAAATTTTGTTTCTATTTTACTCACTTATGTTTTTCTGTAAATCCCTGTTTGTACCCACTGATCCCTCTTCCACAGTTGCATATGTATAATAATCTTATTTCCTTTCTTTTCATCTGTGACCCTTCCTCTGTCAGCTAATTATTTAGCTTACATCAAAATATACATTTTAGATTAAATATTACAGGAGAATGTTTAAGTAATTGCAATCCAATACTAGTTTAAGTTGCCATTTTCTTAAGTATCTTTTACAAACAAAAAGCAATGAGAACTAGCCAATCGATGGTATAAGTGCCATATTTTGTTTAGTTTTCAGCAGCATCAGGAACATTCTTAAATCCTAACATAATATTGCCAAATCTTCTGTTTTGAATGCATAATATGGATAATTTAATAATAAAAGACAGTACTAATTCCACTGAGTTTTTACCTTTACAGTTGAATTGAGCAAGCTTTCACCTCTTCTCTTCAAAATCAACTGTCTCTTTTGAATAGACAATATTGTTTGAAAAGTTATGATCAATGTTTATCAATCATTTTAATTCTTATGCTATATTGTATCTCAACTATGATTTTAATGACAAATTATGTATTTTTTAAATACATTGTTTATGCTGATGCAATAACTACGGTATCTTTTGAAACCCTACTCATTTTATTTACCTGTTAGCCTGAAGATGGTTCTGAGGGAGAGCAAGGCATACTTAGTATATATTGAATGTAGAGATAAAACCTGATTCAGTTATTATTTTTATCATTCATTTACAACTTTTGTTTTACCATTTTCTTTTTATCCTTATTTTATTCTTTAAATTTTTTATAAATATTCTTTTAGTTGCATGGGCTTTACAGACTTTAATAAGTTTGGGCCCTGGGTTAATTGCCTCACTTATTCCTACACCACTTTTCAAGGTTAATTTATTCAAGAAGTGTTACTTAGAGACAAGTATTAATGAAGATGAGTTAATTAAAAACCACTGAGAAGTATTATTGAAGGTGAGTTGATTAGAGACTACCGAGAAGTATTGTTCATTGTGAGTTGATTAGAAATCACTGAGAAATATTATTCAAGATGAGGTGATTAGAGACTGCTGAGAAGTATTATTAAAAGTGAGTTGATTAGAGACCACTGAGAAATATTTTTTAAGGTGAGTTGTTTAGAGACTACTGAAAAGTATTACTCTAGGTAAGTTGATTAGAAACCACTGAGAAGTATTATTCAAGGTGAGTTGATTAGAAACCACTGAGAAGTGTTATTGAAGGTGAGTTGATTAGAGACTACTGAGAAGTATTATTCAATGTGAGTTGATTAGAAATCACTGAGAAATATTATTCAAGATGAGGTGATTAGAGACTGCTAGAAGTATTATTAAAAGTGAGTTGATTAGAGACCACTGAGAAATATTATTCAAAGTGAGGTCATTAGAGACTACTGAGAAGTATTATTAAAAGTGAGTTGATTAGAGACCACTGAGAAATATTATTCGAGGTGAGGTGATTAGAGACTACTGAGAAGTATTATTAAAAGTGAGTTGATTAGAGACTACTGAGAAGTATTATTAAAAGTGAGTTGATTAGAGACCACTGAGAAGTATTTTTTAAGGTGAGTTATTTAGAGACTACTGAAAAGTATTACTCTAGGTGAGTTGATTAGAAACCACTGAGAGGTATTATTCAAGGTGAGTTGTTTAGAGACTACTGAAAAGTATTACTCAATGTGAGTTAGTTAGACACCACTGAGAAATATTATTGAAGGTGAATTGATGAGATACTACTGAGAAGTATTGTTCAAGGTGAGTTGATTAGAGACCATTAAGAAGTATTTTTAAAGATTGATTAACTAGAGATCACGAAATAATATTCTGAAACATTAATTGATTGGATACCACTAAAATAAATTATTGAGCTTTAATTAATTAAAAAGCATTGAAAAATATTATTCAACTTAATACAAAATCACCAAAAAATATCAATGAAGAATAAGTATTTAGAGACAACTGAAAGTATTATTTAAGTTTAATATTCTTCAATAACTAAGGTAATACTGTGTAATACGTGCATTGTAAGCTAAACTTTATTGTTTAATGCTGTATTTAGGAAAGATCACGTGCTTGTTTAATTAGAATTTTCACACATTAGTTGGTCCAAATGTTAGAAAAAAATAGTATTCCTACACTTCAATATAGGACTGTATTTTATTTTATTTTTCTCCCTTATTTTTCAAATTTGTATTTATTTTTTGTATATTTTCCATTTTTTATTTTGCACAGCATTCCTTTTTTTTGTTTTGTTCTGTTCAGGCTAGAAAGGAGTTTCTTCTCAAGAAGCAAGCAGTCACTACCATAGCTGCTTATTACCGAGGATGGAAGGTGCTTTTATTTATGTTTTCCCTTAATTCCATGCACAATATTTTTCTTTTGTATTTTGACTGTGACAAATATGTGAACTAGGTATCATACTGTTGATTATGTTCATAAATAAGTACAGTGTGGTTAGAAGGAAGAAATAAGCACAGTGTGGTTAGAAGGAAGAAATAAGCACAGTGTGGTTAGAAGGAAGAAATAAGCACAGTGTGGTTAGAAGGAAGAAATAAGCACAGTGTGGTTAGAAGGAAGAAATAAGCACAGTGTGGTTAGAAGGAAGAAATAAGCACAGTGTGGTTAGAAGAAAGAAATAAGCACAGTGTAGTTAGAAGGAAGAGATTTTATAGATTGTACTTATTTTTCCTGCTGCAGTCTACGTACATTAATGTAACCTCATTTTTGTTTAGTATACTCAGTTTTGTGTAGATATGTATATTTTTTGAATTATATCTCAGCTATAGCAGATAACTTATATAATGAAAAATTGTGATTAATATATATATACACTGTAGATTACTGTTGTGTTATATTATTCATATATGAAAAGGATTCATTTTGTTCAAACAAACCAAACACTTTTACTCTTATATGAGAAGGAGAATCATTGAAGTATTGGAACCTATGATAATATTATAATTGTGATAAGTTATCTAAATACAAGGTATAGAAAACCCTTATGATAAAAACAGACATTATAACACATCAATTTTTTGTCGCAAAATGTTGGACAAAGAATAGGAGAGTAAACATAAAATGAAAATAACATAATTTAAATTTTATCAAGTAAGTTTAGTGGTCAACTTAAATAGAAGAACACCAAATTTTAAATGCAAACAGTTCACAGTTTTCATATATGTATTTTGAAATAAGATTACCACTGATTATCTTAAGTAATAGTAATCCATTCTTAGCTATTTTGCTGAAAAATGGTTTTCAAAATATTTAGAAAAACAGTCATGTCTTTTTCAGAAAATTCTCTCAACTGCCAGTGGCTTTTATCATATTAAGTTATGCAGTGGTGTCATTTACAATTTTGCTTTCTTTCAAATGATCCAATATTATTTCTAAATCTGAATTATTATGATTGCATTCTAGTTGTGTTGTGTTTGGATCTAGATATATTTCAGCAGAAGAGTTTTTGTAAACAGTGTACTACAAATATATTTGATATTAAAGACACAAGAGGGATTTCACAGCTTGAAGGAACAGAAAGGGAGAAACTTGGCTGCTCTTGTGATCCAGAACTTTTTCTACGGTTGGAAGGTGAGAGAGGAACTTCCTATCAAGGAGATTTTGGGTTGAAATAAGTGTCATAAGAACACAGCCCACTGGATCACAACCACTTATTTTAATATTCACTTTTTTTTATTATTTTGTTTTCCTTTATTTCTAGAATGATTTTCATAAACTTTTCTGAAGGAGAGGATTGCCTGAAGCATGCTGTTATTGTGTAGTCTGAATTATCCATCTCACTTTCCAACCAATATTTAAACCTGATAAGATCAGCCTCAAACAAAGATTTTCAATCTAATTGTTTTCTCATTGTAAGAATCAAAATATTTAAAAGTAAAGAGATCGTTATTGCAGCATTCAGCAGATTTTTTGTAACCTTTATTATGATATATAGTTTTCTAATTATTCTTTATCAACATTAAATGATACTTTGGTGGTTTAGGTTTTATTTAGTTTTGCTCTCAATTAGTACAAGTGACTGAATATCATTTTCTGAGTTGATCTTTGAATCTGGAAATTTGTTGTCACCCTTGTTTGATCCCTGCACAGATAGGCCACTGTGCAACTTTGTGCTTTATAACAAATACGTTTGGTTGTACCCAATCCACTGAACCAGAACTGTCTATGAGACTGGTAAAAATCAAATATGAGAACAAGAATTAGTAAAGGAAATAGTAGAGTTATTAAAGTGTAATGTAGCTGTACAAATATTACATCATGCATGTGAGAGAAAGCGTTTTCTCTGTACTTATAGGAAAATCTAAGTTCCCTAGTAAATCATTTGTTTAAAAATTTGATTAAAATTAATCTTGTCAATTCCAATACAATATGTCTGCCAAGTAAAATTATCATCTAAAAATATTTTAAGCTGTTTTGATCTTGAAAATTTTAAAAATTGTAATCCTCTATTTAATTAATATCAAGTTATTTCTCAGGATCAAATAATTTG